ACATAGGCAGAAAGGAGTGTTTTAGCCAATGACCTAGAGAAGAGAAACTTTTGCACAAATTCACAAGGAGACATTCATCCATTCTTTCATTCATTCAGTTTATATTGAGAATTTACTATGTATTAGAGACCACGCTAGATTCTAAAGATACATGAAGGATCAAAACAAAAATCTCTTCACTTGTGGAATTTACATTCTCCTGAGGAAGAAGATAAAAAATAAACAAATAAACAACAACAATACATATATCAGAAAGTCTTGGGGGGTATAAATAGAAATAAAGCAGGGTATCAGAATAAGAGTGCATAGGTGAGAAGTATAATTTTTTACAGGATGGTCTAGGAAGGCCTCTTCAATATCTCTAAAAAGATCTTAGCAGCACTGTTTGGAATTGCCTTAAATAGGAATAGTAATTATTCTCCAAAAGGAGAATGGATAAACATATTTGGGTATATTTATACAGTGGAATTTTGTTTAAATAAATTAAATAAAGCAAGTATAATATATTACCATATATAGACCTCACAACCATACTACTGGAGCTAAAGTCCATAAAAAATATATATGACAATGCTCTCACTTATAAAAGGTTAAAATATGTAAAACAATGTTATTATATGAATGCATATATGTGAAAATAATTTTAATTACATGGAAATAAGAAATGTCAAATTCAGCACAGTTTCATGTCTGGGAAAAGGAAAGCAGGATGCCATCAGAGAGATCACACAAGGGGTTCAAACGTACTAATGTTCTTAATTAATTTTTAAGCTAATGGTGGGTATCCAGATGAGTTTATATTACTCTTTATATTTTGTACATCTAAGCCATTTTATTAACAATTTATTTAAAAGTGTGTGAGGTTTTTTTTATTTTAGTATATTATGGGAGTACAAGTGTTAAGGTTATGTATATTGCCCCATGCCCCCTCTCCCTCCTCGAGTCAGAGCTTCCAGTGTGTCAATCCCCCAAATGTTGCACATCTTACTCATTGTGATTGTATATACCCATCAATTCCTCCCCCCTCCCACCTGCCCGACACCCGATAAATGTTATTCCTACATGTCCACATAGGTGTTGATCCGTTAATACCAATTTGCTGGTGAGTACATGTGGTGTTTGTTTTTCCATTCTTGAGATACTTCACTTAGAAGAATGGGTTCCAGCTCTATTCAGGAATATACAAGAGGTGCTATATCACCATTGTTTCTTAAAGCTGAGTAGTACTCCATGGTATACATATACCACATTTTATTAATCCACTCATGAATTGATGGGCACTTTGCAATGTGAATTGTGCTGCTATAAACATTCGAGTGCAGGTGTCTTTTTTGTAGAGTGTCATTTGATCTTTTGGATAGATGCCCAGTAGTGGGATTGCTGGATCAAATGGTAGATCCACTTGTATCGCTCCACAGAGGTTGAACTAGTTTGCAGTCCCACCAGCAGTGTAGAAGTGTTCCTATCTCTACGCATCCATGCCAGCATTTATTGTTTGGGGACTTTTTGATAAAGGCCATTCTCACTGGTGTTAAGTGAGATCTCATTGTGCTTTTGATTTGCATTTCCCTGATGATTAGAGATGTTGAGCATTTTTTTCATATGTTTGTTGACCATTATTCTGTCTTCTTTTGAAAAGTTTCTGTTCATGTCCTTTGCCCATTTTTTGATGGGGTTGTTTGATTTTTTTCTGGCTGATTCTCCTGAATTCTAAATAGATTCTAGTTATCAGCCGTTTGTCAGATGTGTAGCTTTGGAAAATTTTCTCCCATACTGTGGGTTGTCTGTTTGCTTTCTTGACAGTTTCTTTGGCTGTGCAGAAGCTTTTAAATTTGATCAGGTCCCATTTGTTTATTTTTGTTGCTGCTGTGATTGCCTTTGGGGTCTGCTTCATAAATTCTTTGCCTAGGACAATGTCTAGAAGAGTATTTCCGACATTTTCCTCTAGAATTCTAATAGTTTCACACCTAAAGTTCAAGTCTGTTACCCAGCATGAGTTGATTTTTGTGAGAGGTGAAAGGTGTGGGTCTTGTTTCGGTCTTCTACATGTGGCTATCCAATTTTCTCAGCACCATTTATTGAATAAGGATTCTTTTCCCCAGTGTATGCTTTTGTCTGCTTTGTCAAAGATTAGTTGGCTATATGAGGATGGTTTTATATCTGGGTTCTCTGTTATGTTCCACTGGTCAATGTCCCTGTTCTTGTGCGAGTCCCAAGCTGTTCTAATGACTATAGCCTTGTAGTATAGTTTGAAGTCTGGTAAGTTGATACCTCCTATATTGTTTTTATTGCCTAGTATTGATTTTGCCATATGGGGTCTTCTCTGGTTCCATACGAAGTGTAAAATTATTTTTTGTATATCTATGAAAAATGATGATGGTATTTTGATAGGGATTGCGTTGACTCTGTAGGTCACTTTGGGTAGTATAGACATTTTAACAATGTTGATTCTGCCAACCCATGAGCATGGTATATTCTTCCATCTGTTTATGTCCTCTGCTATTTCTTTCTTCAGTGTTTCATTGTTCTCCCTGTAGAGGTCTTTTACCTCCTTAGTTAAACATATTCCAAGGTACTTTATTTTCTTTGTTGCTATTTTGAAGGGAATTGAAACTTTGTTTTGGTTCTCACTTTTACCGTTGTTGGCGTATATTAATGCCTCTGATTTTTGTGTATTGATTTTGTATCCTGAGACTTTATCAAATTCATTTTTCAATTCAAGGAGTCTCTTGGTTGAATCCTTTGGGTTTTCTAGGTATAATATCATGTCATCAGCAAAGAGTGAGAGTTTGATCTCTTCCGCTCCCATTTGGATGCCCTTAATTCCGCTCTCTTATCTGATTGCTGTAGCAAGGACTTCCACCACTATGTTGAATACAAGTGGAGATAGTGGGCAACCTTGTTTCTTGTTCCAGTTCTAAGTGGGAATGCTTTCAATTTTTCCCCATTCAGTATGATATTGGCTGTGGGTTTGTCATATATGGCTTGTATCGTTTTTAGGTAAGCCCCATCTATGCCTATTTTGTTGAGCGTTCTTATCATAAAAGGGTGTTGAATTTAGTTTAAATTTGTGAGTTAAGACAGTTTCTAAAAGCACATATTTGACAGGATATATCACCCTTGGTGTGTGTGTATGTTTGTGTACATATGTATGTGATATGCATAATGCTGTCATACTTATATACATATATATGTACATGTGTATAAATGTATACATGTATATGTGGGTGTAGATTTACACCAGCAGTTGATCCAGCATCAGCAGAGCAAACACTTTTACTTAATTTCCTACAAACAGTGAAGGGAGGATCTGTGTTAATTTGACCTCACACTTGCACTCCCACCCTTCTATCTTTGCCCCATGATAATGTCATACATCTGTAGAACCACTGTCTAGGTGAAGATATCATTTTGTAAAACTGTATGTGAACATCTGACTACTTCAGGATTGAATCCATCTTCATCAATTTATAATTTTTCAATCTTTTTTTAATATTGGATGGATAGTGCTAATGAAGGATATTGATACCATTATCATCTCCACCCACCTCACTTCATAAAGAAACTGAGATCTAAAATTAGCAGAGGTAATTGACACAACTAAACAATTATCTGATTCTTTCCATCTATACTTGTAGCTTCACTAAATCTCCATTTAGTACAGATGCAATAATGAAAATCCTACATGGAGAGAAAACCATCCTCATTCTTCTGTATTGAGCTGAAAACGTGAATCATTTAGAGTATGCATTCACACAAACCAACAATGCAAACCACAATAAGCGAATCAACTACTTTGTAAAAAACTGAGAGCAAAAAAACTGGGATGAAATTCTTCATAATAAGATCTTTTCTTTATTGTAAATCACATTTTGTAATGTGTAATATTAAGTGAACAAAGAATAATTTAGAGGGCTCGACAAGAGCACCTTCACACATTAGGGATCTTGAATATTTCTTTAAATCTTTCTTACTAATTTAAAAGATTAATGAGATATCAGGCTTCATAGATTACATTATTATACAGTTTGGCAGAATGTCAGTCTGATAAAATCATATCGATCAGAATCACAACTTAATTGGACACATTTAATGAGTACTTACTATATGTTCAACACTAAAGATCTAGCAGTGAATTCACGCAAAGTTTAGGAAACAATATGGCATCCTACTTAGTTTTAGAATAACAAGAATTTGCCCTGAGGTATCTGTATATGATCTTGCAGAAGTTAAAAGATATGAGAGATATCATTTTTGCCTCTGAAGCTTATATTTGAAATGTTTTCTAAAATGCAATTATACCCTATTGAACCTTGATGATTGCATTTAGTTATTGAACTCATCGAATCAAATTTAAATTAGATAAAAACTGAGAGCATTGTCATCAATATTTTAATACTCAGTACTTTTATTTCAAAACATTATTTTAAAAATTCTGTTTCAGGTCTACCAGTCTTCATTTGTATTATTAATATTATTATATATACTGTAAACCATAATCATATTTAGATACATTTTTCTTTCAAAATTAGTAATTTTGTCCTTAATCAAAATAAAATAACATATAATATCCATATGCATGTATTCAATGTTCATCTTTAGAAGTAATTTTGTATTCCAGAAATTATGTTCTGAGAATTATTATAACCTGTTCATTTTTTGGTTCCAGGATTTAAATACCATTTTGTCCTGGAAGATCTGCATTGTTCCTATGAGGGATTACCATTATCTGACTAAAAACATGTCAGTGGGAGCATACCCTTGTCCATTGACCAACTGGAACTCCTTCAAGCCTCCTACCCACCATCTCTTTTAGTACATGACCTCTCTCTCACACTGCCTCTTTGCTGTAGGGAATAATAGCAAGAAGGATAAAAGAAAAGACACTACTTACTAAGAGTTAAAAGTTCAAAAGATAGCCTGGCCATGCTTTAAATATAAGATACACTGAGCCATACATCTGATTTGGGATCAGATTGCAAGAAGTTAATGTTTCTTACTGTAGTCGCTGTTTTCGTCCTTGGTCCCGTCAATGGTACCATCTGGGTGCATCTGCAGGAAATATCCCTGCTGGCTGAATAACCTTGTCACAATTCCTTTCAGCTGGGGTTCTGCAAAACAAAATGAAATAATTATTCAAATTTTTATTTTGTTTATAAATTTGCACACTTGTAAATTGTTAAAACCATTCTGTAAGTAAATGCATAAATGATAACGGCTTAAATACTGAAATAAGTATTTGGGAGGGGGGTATTTCAGTAACATATCTCTACTTATTTTTTTTTTCTTTTAGAGGCAGAGCTTTAACACTTTGCAGCAATAAACCAAGTGTAAATAAGTAAAAGCTACTTATGATTAAGAAAATACAGAGGTGTGCTAAAAAACAAGTGAATTATTTCCCTCCCTTGTGCATCTGGTGACTGACGGCAAGACATCACCAAGTTTATAGTCCCATTCCAGAATCACTGTTTAAGCCAAAGTGCCACTGTAATTCCCAAGCTTCCCACAGTCATAATCAGGTCCTTAATGACTTCTATTTCTGCTGTATGCCAGCTATCCATCAGAAACTCCTGAATTGTAAAATTCTGATCCAGTACAGCCAGAAAGAATAGCTTGGACAAGAACCACAGGCAAAAAAGCAAAACTCCCATAGCCCTGAGACGTCACTGGAAAGTATGTGAAAATTCAGATTTCATCCTCACTAAATACTTCACCAGAAAGAAGACCCAGTACTACAAAAGCCATCCCTTCAGCACAAAAATAACAACAACAATAATAAAAGCTAACATCAAAGCATACATATTTCTCTAAGTATTTCAAACTAGAAGTAGTCCTCAACTTTTAAAAACTATCTACTCACAAATAGAACCAAACTAACTTTTTATACAACATTTGAAGTTTTGCACATCAGCTAAATATTTATGGCTTTCTCCTTGTGGTGGAGGCTGCCAGCAATGATCTAGTTTCCACAGTATATCCAACTTTAGTATCTATTGTTGAGAAAAATTAACTATTCTAGTGCATTTATAGCCCTAATTATTTCATTAAAATGAGCAGAAAAATAAAATAAATGCTGCTTGTAGTGATAAAAATTGAAGCAAAGATGGAAATCATTATTGCTGAAGTAAAAACATGGTATCTTAGATGAACAATCACTTTATCCTTTATCTGTTTATGCAATCAATATTTACTAAGAATCTCTTTCTTCTGCTAGACAATAAACTGGGCACGGTGTGTTAAGGTGAACACATTTATTGATGTTTAGGTCTAAAAGACCTTTCTAGTTGAGCATTTGATATGCTCAATTCTTTGGGAATGGGCCTATTCCCTGTAACATATGTCTGTGGTTGGACTTTCACACATGTGACTTCACACATATTTGAGAAAATGGGGCAAGGCCTCTATCAACACATTTTTTTCAACGTAGTCCTAAGACGCAAAAGAGATGCCAAGAAAACTTGGAATGAGGGAGCAGAGTAATGACAAAAGAACTGAACTGGAAGTTAGGCATCCTGATTAACAGTTTTGTATTATCTTCATAAGTTAAATACATTCAATTTATTTAATTTGCAGGTCTTAATTTCCTCATCAATATCTGAAAGTTAAATTAAATAAATGATCTTTAGGTCTCTCCTATGAGTTTCTATTCCCTTGAGCAGATTAGAACCCTCTGGCCTGACCAGTGTGGAAATAAAGGATAGGATTTATCTTCAGTGCATTTTCTCCATGGACACATCCGATCCCACCTGCTAGGGATGCGTCAGAGAAACATGCAGCTAGCTAACCTCACTGCAAACAGCATTCTGTGTGCCCCTGCCCGGAGGCTCCCTGGGTGACAAGCAGCTTCTGATGTGGCACTCTTAGCTCTAGATTTGGAATCCGAAGACCTAGCTTTGAACCACAAATATTGTATGGTTCTGAGCAAGTCATTTAATACCTGAGGCTCAGATTTTGTATCTGTATAATGAGAAAAAATAATTCCAACCTTCACTATATTCATTGAGAATTTCAAGTGAATAAGAATGTGATAGTATGAATTAGAAGACCCCATAGAAATATAAGTCCTAATTAAGGTCTAATGTTTCTTTCCACTATGAAAATCAAAGAAACAATGTAAGTGAGGTAAAGGGAAGATTCTGAGAACAGACTATTTCCTGGTTTCTGTTTTAGTAAAATATTAACTGAGCTTCTAAAACCATTGGAGTAAACAGTGGGCTAAAAGTAGATGACATAAAGTGACAGAAGAAAGAAAAGTGACAGCTATCTTATAATTCATATTTTACTTCTAATAAGCTTGATATGGTCACTTTAAGAAGTTACGTTTTCATTAGCAATGAGATGCATGGCAGGTAGCTTAGTCATTAAAGCCTGCAAATGATTGTTTGTTTTCTTTATGCTCCTCTTTCTGTATCTGTAATTAAACACTTCTTTTGCCATGGTGAAGCCATCCCCCTGTTGGAGCCCTGGGAATTCAAGTTAGTAACTCCCGTTCGGGATAATGAGCATGAGACTTTTATACTAGCCCCCACCACGGAGAGCAGTGCCAGAACAAGCTCAGAGTCTGAGTTATAATTACGTGATGATCTATGAAAGTGAATGTGCTGCCCTACAGAAGTCTCCAAGGGGACCTGAGCATCTATTGAACAAATGCCCTGAACCTAAGATGGGTCACAGAAAACCATAAAACCTGCCTAACTTTCTATACCTCTATTACCATCTATTAAGCCCTACCAGCCTTTCCAGGCTCACATCAAGATCACCTCCTCCATGAAGGCTTGGCTATCATAAGTGAGGATCTCTTTTATAATTAGGGAGGGGAAAAACAAGTTGTGCTGTATTTTAAAGAAAGAGACTAAAAAATTAGCCCATCTAGCATCGTGGGTATATGCAACCAACACATGTTATATTTGTCAGACTATGCTCGGGGCCGTAAGAGATGAATAAAGTCCGTGCTGTCCTCGGGGAGCACCCAGTCTAGTGCATGAAACATTAGTATATAACGCTAGTATGGGATAGCTGGTAAATGCGAGAGGATGAAGCAGAATGGTGTGATGGCACCAAGGAGCAAGAGACTTATTCTGTCTGGAGGCTGGGCGACAGCATTTCATCTGTCACTTGAGGAATAAGTAGGATTTTCCTAGGCAAATAAACCAGTGGAAGGGCATTCCAGGCAGAAAAACGTGGCATGCTCTGGGAACAATGCAGAGTCTGGTACAGAGAGAATACAAGGCAGAGGTTCTCAAATGCAGACATGCAAGTAAGTGCCTGTTCTCAAAAAATGTCCACAGATCAACACTATAATTAATAAAAATAGAGTCAATGAAATAAGTTTTTTTTATTAAGCTATTTTTTTCAATCTATATGACTCTCTTTGATTTTAAGATTATGTTCTTCCATTTTTTGTGTGTTTTTATGAACTGATGGCTGTATTAGTAAATGGTGGGGGAGGAGGCGTTGGTTTACTCCCTTTTGTGCTCCAAAGTGGTGTGGCAAATATTGTTAGCATTTCACTCAAATCCATTTCCTCTTTTTCCTGGGCACCCAGCTAGACCATATGTCCTAGCCTCCCTTGCAGTTAGGTTTGGCAGATGAATGAGTGTCATATGGAATGTAAGTGAAAGTGATGTGTGCCATTTGCAGGCCAAGGCTTTTTGAAAGCAAACATTCTCCTCCACATTCCCTTTTCCTTAATGCTGGCTGGATTAAGATGACAAAGCCCTAGGTAGGGGGTGTGGAGCAACAGAATGGAAGAATGCTTGGTCTCTGAATAACTGCTGGAGAAAAGACAACAGTCATTGAAATACCCACCTTGGACAGAGAGATGAATAAAAAATAAAATACCATTGGCTGTGCACAATGACTTCCTTCCAAACAATACAGTATAGAAAGGGAAGGAAGGAGGGAGGGAGTAATTTTACATGGAGAAACCTGACAAACAAAGCATTACATCAGCAAGGTAATGAAGATTAACATCAGCAGTCATAAATCATGGTGATAGTATGTACCCCTGAGATGATGTGATGAGAATGGCTCTTTACCTCTGTGATCTTCCTCGGAAAAAACCCACAACCTCATTCTAATCATGATAAAGACACCAGACAAATCCTGATCAAAAGACATTCTACAAAACACTTGATGAATATTCCTGAAAACTGTCAAGGTCATCAAAGAAAAGGAAAGTCTGAGAAAATGTCACAGACAAGTGGAGCCTAAGGAGACAGCAATAACTCAATGTAACGTGGCGTTCTGGATGGGATCCTAGAACTGAAAGACTACCTAGCCCATCGGGCTGGCTTGGAGCACAGTGCTATGGAACATTACTTAGGAACACAGTGGAAACCCAGAACAAAGACAGAGCCATGGGCACCTGGTCACGCATCTCAAGATGAATACTACATTACAGAAAAGAGAATGAATCTTAGAAATGAGAAGAATCAACACTTTCTTTCATCAACTTTAAATATTAAAAAAAAACCCTGTGGCTCAGAGGGAGAGTGTCTTGTCCAAGATAACCCAGCCAACACATGAATGAGTTAGGGTAATAACTCATCTCCTATATATTGAGTGGACATCATCCTTTCCTTTCCAAAGAGGGACCATCACATAACCCCAATCTTATGCAGGCCAGGGGACTAGAGAGCAAGAAGGTAGAAGAAGGAAGGGGAGGAGCACCTAGTTGTGCATCAGTTATTGGAGTGTGAGGGTGATAGAAAAGGGGTTATAGGAAACTAAGCAAGAAATCATTTATACTAAAAGTGGATTATATTTATCTAGGACCAGCCTACTCAGTAATTGTGCCCAAACTTGGAGAAAGTGCCTCCGTGTAAACTCTAATCTAAAATGAAAAATATAACAGTGCTGAAATTTTGTTATAGAGGTCATATCTAGAGAATTAATAGTAATTTTCCATAAAAGCAGAGATATTTTGAACCCATTTCTTTTGTACCAGGCACCCTCTGGAAGATTTTACTATGGTTTTATTTACAACTCACAACAATGAATGGATGAGGTACTCTTTTCTCATTTCTCAGATGAGATTACTGAGACTCAGGAAAGCTACCTCACTTGCCCAAGGTTACTGAGCTAAAATGAAGAGGCAGGTCTAGCTTAA